ATTTTGGGAATGAGCTTAATTTCATGACACTTCTGTTAGTCAAAGCAAGAGGCAAAGGTAAATTCTCGGAAGGGAATGGGTATTGAAGGGTGTTAGGTTATTAGGGCTAACTTCACAAAGTGCCACAAAGGGGTAGGCAAAATGACAGGGATTTAGTTTCCAATAGTTCTGGAAGTTAAGATCTCAAAACAAAAGTATTGCCAATGTGCTTCTACTGAAGGCTGTAGGAAGTATTCATGACTGACTCTCCCCAGGCATGGCAGCAGTTTTTTGGCTCTTTCAGGCATTCCTGGGGTTGCAGTACGTCAACATCCCTCTCTGCCTCTGTCTCTCTGTCTCCTTGTACCTCTCCTCTCTCTCTCACCTCTCTTTCTCTTCTCTCTCTCTCCTCTTTCTCCTCTTTCTATCTTCTCTCTCTCTCTCTCTCTCTCTCTCTCTCTCTCTCTCTCTCTCTCTCTCTCTCTCTCTCTCTCTGTGTGTGTGTGTGTGTGTGTGTGTGTTAGTATGGAAAGGAGAAGGAGAATACAGAAGCAAAAATATCTTCTGGAATGATCAATTTACTGTATCCAGGCAGTAGTTAAAAGTCTCTGAGCAGAGCCACTGACTAGAAGGAAACTAAGACTAGAAGCTCTTACTTTAAGGGTTGTCTGTCTTCAGTAAAGAGAGAAAAAAAAAAACAAAAGAAGAAATTATTATGCTAAGCCACTAAAAGTGGCTATTTCTTTGGGACCCAATTTCCAGCATGCTTACCAAGGCAGTACACTGTCCAATGGGATGGCTTTCCCTGGTGTTCTGCATCTTAGGTTGGATGCTGTTCACACAGAATTGGCATTGGTCATTCTTGGGAATTATCTCTAGGCACATTATATACTGCTAACTTAAAAGCTGACAATTTTTTATAATGATGTTCAGGAATCTGTCTTAGAATCTCTTTTCTAGAATGATTGACTTTGTAAAATTTTCATCTTTCTAATTATAAATTTTCTAGAGAACTATTATTCTATACTTGTCCCTAGCATTACAAATAAATTATAAGATGACTATTAAAGAAACATTTTATAAGTGAGATTTTCTCATAAATAGTATCTCCTTTTATATTTTATTATAAAACTATTTACATTTATATAAATTCAATGCATAGCTTTATTAATAGAAAATAAACATTATTTATTAGTAATATTAGAATCCATTTTGCTATGTAAATATTTAATCTTAAATATAATTGAGTAATTTATTTTGAGAATTGACTAGACTGCATTCAAAAACTTATTAACTTATTAATGAAAGTTTTATAAAGAATGTTTTTGTGGAAAATCTATGTTAATCTAATTGACCTCTAATGTATACTGAGTGTGTTAACCTATGGCTTGATAAAAGTCCACTTAAATCATCTTTATCTGTCTATATATCAACTGTGGGTATAATATTTCTATGTTTTGATACACTTGTTCTAAGCTTTTTATGGCAAGATTTAATTTTGGTTATTATATGGGTTATTAGTGTCATTTTATAGATTATAATCTGGCAGAAGGATGATTAGGTAACTTCTCTGGTGTCTTAAATTAACTTTATTCACTTATCTTTATTTTAAGTAATTTTTGGTTTCATATCCTAATATTCTTGATGGGATATATGATGTTCTGCTCCTCTGTATGCTTCAAATAGCCTTATCACCATACCTTGCAGAGGCCAGATGTTAATGATTTCAAGTAGGAAGAAGTAGATTATTGAGTGGGAATAACTGTTCTCTCTTGAGACATAAATTCTTTATTAGTTCAAAATAATCTAAAAAAAAATGAAACTCTGAATTGCCAATATGCAGTAATAAACACACAAAACCCTAAAAGGCATGGTGAATAGAAAAACACTATGGAGTGGTTGGATTTGCAGATTGTAAGACACCTTGGCTATTTGGTTTCATTCACATTCCATAAATGAAGAAATGACCTTCCCGAAGTGTCAGTTGACTTGCTCAGGGTCACTCCAGAGTCTCAGGACAATGGCTCTTGATGATGCCTCCTTTCTCTGAGTGTTTGTTGGAAACTGACAGTGATGGCTGCCCTAACTCTCAGGATGATGTTGGAGATGCATGTGTGATAACACCCATTTGAACATCTTCAAGCGCTATAACTTCTCCCCTTGAACTGCTTTCAGGCTCCTGCCATGCAGGTATTTCTATGTTGTTCTCAACACAGGGCCTTTCTTCCTAGATCAAAATCCTTTCAAACTATTTATGGCCAAAACAAAATCATGTAATATCCCAGGGCAGTGTTGTCCATCCCAAGAATAGATACTGGTTTTGATGGGCAACTGCTTCATCTTTGGAAGCTGTTCTTTGCCTTTCTTATCCCCTTTATGACTACTCTGTGAATCTTTAGGCCTTTCCTTATGGAAGCTTTTTCTCTCTACTGGAACTATATTTCTGGATTTGTTCCTTCCTTTCAAAAATTCTTTCTAGATTTTAACAAATAACAAAAACAAAGAAACTTTCTTTTATTATACCAGAACCCACCACAAAATTTTCATATCTAAAAAAATAAGCGAATTGTTGTTCAAAAGCCATCCTTCACACTTGTAATTCTACTAGGGAAGCTGATTTTATTGATACATATGTCTTTGTTGTGTGGTTCTGCACTGTTCATCTGCAGGTCAAAACTTCATGGTAGGATTTGCACCTCTCGGCAAGGAAGGCTTTTGCTATGAAGCTCATTGTTTCAAGATTATGTTTGATCCTTTTGAAACACTTGTTTTGGATAGTAATCCAGGCATATGTAGTAAATGGGGAAACATTAAGTGTTATCCAAGGAGCTGTGAGTCAATTAAAACTTTTTCATCTGAATAACTTCTGATTTAGACCCTTCATGTTTCTAATTTTAGATCTTCCTTGGTCTAGAGTTATGAAAGAATATAGCTGAGAAATTCTTTAAAACAGCTTACCATACACACCAATTTATTTTATTCTGACATGAGCTTTAATTGAACCTGCTGGATGCTCTCTGTTAAGTATTTGAATAGCATATGAAAATACATGATGTTTAAATATTCAAAGGCAAAACTCACTTGAAAGAAATACTTCATGAATAATTGATATAAAATCAGGGCCTGACCACAACATTACAAATTACTGTCTAAAAGTCTCTACAGTGAGTAGGTCTTTAAAAATAGAAAGCAGTTTGATCAAACACAGATGTTTCTATTTTTAAATTCTTGGCACACTTCCTTAGTAGAAGATCTTAGCCCCACAGGGCTTGAGCCTCAGGCAGCAATAATGGTTTGATATAGGTACACATGCTTATTGCTATGTTTGTCTTGAGATGGCTGGTGTGGAAAAGTGCTGTGGGGCAAAGATTGGCCTTTGCATCTTTTAGGTGTTTGAGCAGTGGGTGTCTGTTTGGGGTTCTGCATCAAAGAAAATAGATAAATTTGTACAGGGTGCTTGTAGTTGTTACAAAGAAAAAGGTTTACTCCCTTATAGAGTTCATAGTGCATCACCTTTTAATCTTTGAATGCTTGAAAAAAACGTTGGGAATAAAGCTTACCAACCTTAAAGGGGAAGTGTTGATTAGTGTGACAGGGCTCTAAGGATCGGTGAGGTGTTCTTGGAAAAGGACCACTTATAAATATGACAGATTATGCTAAGCCAATTTAATTTTCTCTGTTGCTCAGATTTCTGGTGAGGATATTTAATGATGTTGACTTGCTAATACTATCAGTTACAATAATTCCCCTAGCTTGTAAGAGAAAAATAACAGGCTTTCTCTGGGATTTTCTCTTGTAAAAAGCCATTTTTTAAGTCTTTAATACACAACTTTATAGGATAATACAAATAACGGTTTATGTATCTCTGTAGAATCAACACACTCAATGATTTTCTTCAACTCTGTAATGACTTGAGCATTTTAAAAATAATATAATATGCTTTTTAAAAATTATATAGTATGCTCAATGTAGAATAATTTCAACTAAGTTAGTGAAAATGAGACTTGAAGGATAAAGCACTCAATTAAAAGGTCTTGTTTATAAGTTACTTGTGTTTTATACTTTAAGGCTTTTTATTTGTTCTTTTTAGATTCATAATTTATCAAATTCAAGATGAAGCCAGCTTCCAGTTGCAAATACAGAGCTATATTAGTTAGGTTAAGCAAAAGGTGGTTAGTGTCAGAAGGGTATTTCCAAACCTTTGAAAAGACTAGAGAGAAATCTCTAAGTTAAGCCTTGAGGAGGAAACTAACATGAGTAACTCAGAGCTAACACTTCCTGGAATCTTCACTTTTTCCAACTAGGAACTCGGGGATAAGCTGAAGCATCTCAGAACTGCAAACCACCAAACTGTTTAAAAACACTCAGTAGTTTCAAAGTAAAATCTTCAATCACTTCTTAATTACCTCTGTGCTTTAGAGGGTTGTGAGATGCTGTAAATGTCAATTTTCTCTCTCTCTCTCTCCTAGATTTCTATGAGGAATAGATGTATCTCAGTCATGGTTGGAGATATGGAATAAAAAGAAATAATTCTGAAAGTTAGGCAAGGCTAAGAATCACCTTTAGAGAATGTTTGCTTAATTATAATATAATTGGCCTCCAGGAAGTGCACTCTGTCCTGAATTTTGTTTTTGAGCAAGCTCTGTTTCAAGAACTTTTATGCAGCAGCAAATTAACTAAGAAGCAGCACGTTACCATATTACTCATTTCATTTGTGTACATATTTACTTGTACAAAACTCTAGCCTTCCCAAAGATCAACAAAACAACTGAAAACAAATGTTGGGAAAGATTGGGAACAAACAACAGGGCTTAACACTAGCTCAACTTAAGGAAAGGCATGCCTGGTAGTGCAAACAGAGCCAACTACCCAGGGCTAGAAAAAAGAATTTTGGAGGAGAACTTACAACCACCATTTTATTAAGCCAGAATAATCACTAATTGTATTGTAAATATTTGTCATTAGACTCACAAATAAGTGTAGTCCTTACTTCTCACCAAGAAAACTTCTCTTTGCAACAGATGGAGATCATTACAGAAAACTACAATCAATCAAAATGCAGAGTTGTGGAGCTCTCAGTTCCAGTGGACACATCTACAAAGCAACTACCATACCTAAGGCTCAGGGAATACTGAGGACGTGAGGCTAGGAAAGATTGCAAGAGGATCAGTGAGCTTGGTATGAAATTGTGTCTCCTAATATGTCAGAATCCACACCATAAAGTCTCATCAACATGACTGCCTAAATATGAGCTGAAGAAGGGCATCAACAATAGACATGCTAACGTGGATTGGGAAAGCCCAAGAGGCCTCAACCCTACACAAAGAACTACAGGCAACTAAAGATATATATATATATATATATATATATATATATATATATATATATATATATGCAACATTGTACAGACTGATGTAGTATTAATATATTTAGGATATATTAAATACATATATATATATATATATATATATCATGTAACAATAATTAATGAAAAAGAGGCCATTAATTTGAAGGAGAGAAAGGTGGGATATAGGGGAAGGTTTGGAGGGACAAAAGGGGAAATGATGTAATTATATTATAATCTTAAAAAAGAAATAATTAAAAAATTGTAGCCTTCCAGACTTTCTAATATCCAGGAATAATAAATAACCATAACTTGAGGCAAATGAATTAATTTTATAAAATGAAGTTTTCTTTTCTTAGCGAAGCTTTACTCAGCAATTTCTCAACTTGCACATTATAGTCTAAATATCAAGCTATTATAGGTATTTAAAAGTTTGATCAAAAAATTTCATATACAACATGACAAAAATCTGTTCGCAGCATAGTTTATGATACAGTTCATATGGTGCACATTGCAGAATGAGGTTGCCTAAGCACTCATTACTAAGTGACTACAAACATGAAACTTCATCAAATAGTGATATTTCTCTCAGGTCCTGGGGCATGAAATGTGCTAAAGGAAAGTAATTTGGGGTCCTTGTGAGCACATAGGTAGCTGATAAAATAGATGACTAGTTTTGATCACTCCTTCACCCCACACATTTTAGTATAATTGTGTAAACCAAGCATTGGCTTTCTTCATTATACATACATTTATTTACTGAGAGGCTATGGTTATTCATGGGAAAATCAGTACACATAGTCACGTAAATAAGGTTATAAATGCATGTGACAGAATTAAGAGAACTTCAACCAACAGGAAAATAAAGTGTCTTCCATATTGGCTTCTAGGAGAGTCCAAAGTATAGGTGACTCCTACCAAGATATTTAGTTTTCTTTTTATTTTATAATTAATTTAATTTTACATATCAGCCATGGATTCCCCTGTCCTCCCTCCTCCCACCCCTCAGCCCCCCCCCAATTCTCTCCCTATTCCCACCTCCTGTGAGGCAAGGTCTCCCCTGGGGATTCAGCTTGGCTTGGTAGATTCAGTTGAGGTAGGTCCAGTCCCCTCCTCCCTACACCAAGGCTGAGCAAAATGTCTCAGCATAGGCCCTAGGTTCCAAAATTATGATGTGAGCATATATGTAGACAGAAGGGTGAATCTCAATCTTAGCTCCTGATAATAGCTTGGAGGTACCATGGAATATAGATGCAAAGTGATCTGAGGCATGGAGAAAGGCAATTGGAGATAAGGGATATTAACTAATTATGTGCACATGTATGATCAACTTGCTTTCATTGCTAATATTAGAGGTTATAAAGCTGATGTTCCCATTATGTTGAATATGTATCCTGTCATGTCAAACATGGTAGGAGTTGGACCTCTGAGATCAAAATCATAGGAGGAGTTGGAGGGAGGAAAGGAAAGGGAGACATGATGTAACTGGGTTTTAATTGAAAGATTAAAAATGTGAAATAAAAAGAGTCAACTTTTGACACTCACCCAGACCCAAATGAAGAGTTAACATTTTCATTTGGTTCAAGCCACCTCCAAATCTCTAAAAAGCAAACAGAGCAAGAGTTATTACTGTGATCCACAGGCCAGGGGTGCAAACATAATGGGAACATATGGCTTAGCTAGGTGACCTCTAATATTAGCGATGAAAGCAAGTAGCTAAAAGCAAGTGAAGTTACAAAGTTTATTCAGGTTTTTGATGGTTCCAAATCTAGTGATCTTTGATGCAGACTGACAGAGAAAAGGATGAGTTTTAGGTCAGATAGCTGCTTGATCTAAAAACTAGCTAACAACTTTGACTCCCTTTTCTCCTTAATTCTCCAATATACTTCCTAACAAAACACCATCAGGTCTGTCTCAAGAGCACTATATAACTCTGCCCTGTCCTTTCACTGGTCTTTATAACACCATTACCCTCTTTTAGATCTTTATCCAGATCTACTGTTAAAGAGTATCTCTGCCCGTTGTCATGACTCCACTTCTACCTATTGCATCCTTTATATTACTGGACTGATAATTCTCTTTCAAAAACACCTGTCACTTCTCTTATCAGTGTAGTTATTACTCCACATTGGAGATTTTCTTAATCTCATGTGTGGAATCCAGACCAAATGAGACCTAACTATGGGGCAGGGTACAGATAACATGTATAGTGAATAGTCACTGATTCACTAGCACACATGAATTTGCAGGATAATGTATTATTTCCAACTATTCTTTACCACCTGCATAAAGCTGATTTTAAGTAATCATCATTCTAATGGACTTGGATTTATTACTATAATTATAATTGAAACTAAATGTAATTAATATGTATTGAACTTTAGCAATCATTGAAATTATATCATGAAACTCTGTTACTATAAATTGTTAATTAAATAAAAGTTAGGTGAGAATATAGAATTCTGATAAGTTTTGAATGCCTGATTTAGTGTTCCTTACCCAAAATGGATTCTTTGACATTGTTATTAATCAAAATGCATGTGGGTCATTATCATTGAACTGCCATCATATAACTCATACCGGGGAACAACAGTAACGAAGTTGGATGCCTCTCTTTTAAAGATTTTTCTGTTATTCCAGTGAAAATGGTATCTTTCCTATGTTATGTGAAGGCTGCTACCTTGTTTCAAAAGCAGCACGATTTCAGGAACAGGGTTATAGATTATAAAAATAATGAGAACAGTGCCATTCATAAGGAGATAGTCCTCTTTTCATCTTTGTTTTAAATTAACATACAAAGCAATATATTTCATTGTGGAATTTTCATACATACTTTCTTGTTCAGAAATTTACTTATTAAAGAGTCTTAGAATTTCAGAACAAAAAATATTTTTTTTTTTTTTGGTTTTTCGAGACAGGGTCTCTCTGTGTAGCTTTGCACCTTTCCTGGATCTCGCTCTGTAGACCAGGCTGGCCTCGAACTCACAGAGATCCGCCTGGCTCTGCCTCCCGAGTGCTGGGATTAAAGGCGTGCGCCACCACCGCCCGGCAAATATTTTTTTATTCTTTGCCCTTAACTGGAAATCCACAGAGAAGAACTTATTTTTCATAATAAAGAAATACTTCCATGTTTAAGTCAGTTTAAGGGCACTAAGTCAATTTTCCTTTCTAAAATGTCATGAGTGAATAGGTTTTTTAATTAAAGTACTTCAGAAAGAAGATAGAGTAAACACATTTTCCCAAACCCTTTGCTAAAAGCAATGTATTAACATGTCATTGGGCAAGTAACAACCTTTGGTTTTAGTTTAGGAAGCAGGATATGGAACAATATAAAAACCTGCAAATAGCTAAAAATAATTTTGAACGAAGACAAGGAACCAGGGAGCTTTATGCTCTCTGACTTTAAAAAGAACAGAGCTGTTTTAAAGAAAATAACAGGGGATTAGCATTAATTTAAAGAAAACAACAGACATGCAGACCAACAGAGCCATAAGCCACAAGAAATCCTGGAAGTGAAGGAATCAACAGCAATGGAGGGTCAAGAAAGATGGGAGTAAATTCTTGTAGAAGGACAGTCTACTCGATAATCGCTGTTGGAAGAACTGATCACCTGCATGCAGATGAATGCAACTAGACCCCTCCCTGTCTTTCACCAGTTATAAAATCCACATGAAATGAATTTAAAACTGCAAGAATAACCTTTAATTATGAAATTACCAGAAGAAACAGGGCAATTACTTCAGAGTATTGAAACAGGCATTTTTGGGTGGGGAGGGGGCATCTCATAGGAAAAAAATAAAGAAGACAAATAGTACTACATAAAACTTAAATGCAGCCAGTCACTGGTTGTGTACACCTTTAATTGCAGCACTTTGGATGCAGAGGCAGGAGGATCTTTGTGAGTTCAAGGCCAGCCTGGTCTATTGAGTGAGTTCCAGGACAATCAGAGCTACACAGAGAAACCCTGTCTCAAAAACCAACCAACCAACCAACCAACCAACCAGCCAGCCAGCCAGCCAGCCAGCCAGCCAGCCAGCCAGCCAACAAACCAACAAAAACTAAAGAACCAAAAACTGAAATCCTTTGGCGTAGCACAAGACACACTCAGCCTAATACACAGACAACTTATAGAATCAGTAAACATGTTTGCAATATGTAATTTAACACCATAGCTCATATCCAGAATATGCAAGAAAATCTAAAAGTTCAATAACAAAAAACAAATTACCTCCTTAAAAACGGACCATTAGCAAGGCTACACAAAGAACCCTTTCTTGAAAAATACAGGAACCCCCCCAAAAAAAACTACCCCAAAATAGACCAACAGATCTAGACATGTTTTGTAGATAAATGTTTGTGTGTATATATATGTTCTTGTGTGTGTACAAGTGTGCATGTGCATTTGGAGGTCAGAAATTAATGTCAGTTGTCTTCCTTGATCACAGTCCATTTTTGAAACAGGATATCTCATGGAAACTGTAATTCAGCAAGTCAGCAGACAAGTAGAGTAGCAATTCCCAGGAACTCTGCAGTCCCTGCCTCCCTAGCACTGAGATTACAAATGCATGCTAGCACACACAATTTTTTACATGTGCTCTGGTGATCTGAATTTAATTCCTCATATGTCTATGACAAATATTTTACCAAATAAACCGCCCTGCTAAAAAGACATTCCTTAAAAAGAAGACATAAAATTGCCCAGTGAGTACATGGATATCAATAACACTAATCATGAGGGAAATGCAAAAATGCAATGACACACCTTAGTAGGGTTAATACTGTCAAAGAGTTGGAAAATAGCAAGTGCTATCAATGATAAGCAGAGAGGGGAAAT